GTTTTGTTTAGTCAACAAGTTGTTTCTCCAGACTTTTATTGTCGGTGTATTAAGTTCCGTTACGCTGCTCTTGACGGTTGGTGGTTACCATAGCAACCAGTATCTGACAGCTCCGCCCCCTTTTCCTGTTGCCGTTGGTAACTGTGGTACGTATTAGGATTAACTCTGTTTTCTTTACAATTATTGCATTTTAACATGTATTTTTAGACAGAATTGATCTAACAGTGTTTCGTGAGTAAGTTTGCTATGTTTTGTATACGTTTTTAAATGTTATCATTATTAATGTGCATTTTATATATGTTTAATTTTATAATCGTTAGCCTCTGCTAACTGCTGTTAGCTGCTCATTGGCAGTTATTGCTCTGTAATTTGTTTATGGTTATTTGTTATATTTTGTTTACTGTATAGAGGCAGAAGCTGTTGGACTGATGTTAGCCACCAACTTGATTTCGTCTTTTGTTAGAATAAATATAGTAAACATGAGTGTAGTTTTATTGTAAGTCAATTTGGTTTCTTTTTGTAGTTTTTTTTTTCCTATTTTTTGTTAATGGATGGATTTCTACTTATTTTGTACGGGTTTTATTGCCTGCTGTTTGTAAAATTGCACAGTGAAAAATTAGCAGCAATAGTTTAAGTTAGTAAGCAGGAAAGTTTACAGCTGTAAATTCATTTACAACTGTCTCTGTTTCAAAGTAATCATTTAATTAGCACAATTAGCTTCATATTTAGGTAAATATTATGTTTACAAACTAAATATTTATCTCCAAACAAACTATTTAGATAAAAAGATATTTTAGTTAACAAAATAGCTTGAAAGCTAAATATATTCATTCAAATAATTTGAGCTTAAAAATGTATTTCTGGTTTGCTCTGTAAATATTACAAAGTAATATTTATTTGTGTCTCGTTGTTTCCTAAACCCAAAACAATAAGACATAAATAAATCTGAGGATTAAAAATAATTCATATTTTACTGAATGTTACTGTATTTTCAGTAACATTAAACCAAATATGACTGCAAAAGTTTTTCAAATTGCTAAAACATTTTATTAAGAGTGAAATAAAAACCTTGTGTGGTGATTGACTGATTTTCTCAGAGTTAGGCCACAGCAGGTAAACAGGGACACTTCCTGTTGGGAACACAATCCCTCCCTTCTATCCGATTACCGTCGGACATAATCCGCGATTAATCATAGGTAAAATAATAATCATTTGAGTGCTGGAGCTCTTTTATTCACACACACCTGTGATGACTGGTTCTGGGTTCTCAATGGAGCTGTGTTGTAAAATAAAACTGGTGAAGTGAATTAAATAAGAAAAAGAAACCTGGAGAGTTTACCTTATTTTTGCATTTATGGAATAAATTAAAATTGTTCCTATTTTCAGAAGGTTAATAGTTAATAATTTAATTAATGTTATTTTTGCTTTCCCATCAGCTTTAACTACAGCCGTTGTTTACTGAAGGAAGGAAGCAGTAGAGGTGGACGGATTGATCCAGAATAGCAACAGAACTGATACCAGATCAGAATTGGTTATGAAGTAAATACTGTCCCAACCAGGCTGGATTGTTTTCATTGTTTTGGTAATGCAACACACACACACACACACACGCACGCACGCACGCACACACACACACACACACACACACACACACACACACACACACAGAAGGTAAAAAAAGTACAAAACTAATGTAACCTATTCAAGCCAAAGTGCGGTTTTTGATAAATTTATGATTCTCAGTCCAACCTTTCATTTGCCCTGTAATGCCCCCTGGTGGTGATCCTGTGTAAATGCAAAGCAGATTCTTGTGCATCCTCTTATGAAAAAGGATCAGAGCTTTCCAATTTGCCACCATGTTTGCATTTTGTCTTCACTGTATTGACTTGACTCAACCACAAGCTGTGCACAGATCAAACCATCAAATAAATTTTTATAGGACATTTAAGCAACAAGGCATTTCAAAGTGCTTTACATCGTAAAAAAAATACAGTCATAGAACACATAAACAATTGAAACATTACATTTAGTCAAATGTCACTGTTAATTTTTCATTATGTTTCAAAACAAACTCTAAATAAGCTAAATATGTATCTTCAAACTAAATACTTAGTTAGCAAACTTAATGTTCATCTTCAAACTAGATATTTAGCTCTGGGCTAAGTAGTTATTATGAGGGTCACCCATCGTTAGTGTGATTTCACTTCACTATTAACTTTACTACAAAAGTAGAAGTTTGTAACAAACATATTTTACTTATATTTTGCATATTTTTATCAGAGGTCTTTGAATCCAGTTTATGCTGAAATGCTAAATATCACCTGTTCATGTAAATTAAAACTCTGACATCAGTCAGCAAAGTGTTAAAAACTCTTGTCTTAAATTCAATTTCAAATTGGCTCTGTATCATGATAATGATACAAAGCACAAGGTGTTGCAGTGGCCTAGTCAAAGTTTGGATTGATATCCAGCTAAAATAGTCATTTCATGCTCACAAATCCTCCAATCCTGACTGAATGAAAGCAATTCTGCAAAGAAGAGTTGGTCACAGCAGTTGAAGCTCATCTAGTTTGGATAGAAATTTTATGTAGACATCAACTATCAAGCCCTGAAAGTGATTCTCATCTGGGTTTAGGTCTGGACTTTGACTGGGCCAAAGGTTGCTAGCCAACATTTAGCTGTTATCTTCAGCTTACTGGAAGCCTTACGAAGTGGTTCACATGCTGATGACGACGTGTCTCCTGTGATGAAATGAATGAGCTAATATGAAGTTTTTCTGCCCGGATACGCTCCCGTGTGTTCGGTGAGTGGAGGAAACGGGGGGCAGATACGGGCCTAAAACAACAGGATGCTCAATACGTCACAGGCAGAAAGGTCCAGAAAAGTCCTCACAAAGTAAACATAATATTTTTCATGGTGAATTAGGCCTAGGATGTTACTAAATGAGAGCTGTAAGAGGTGGATGTTGTGATTTTCTACTGTGGCATATTACACACAGTTTGACCACTGGTCATATTCTTATTCATTCTGGAGACAATGGGAAAGTTTTATTGCTAAAGAAACCTTTAATATTCATCAGCATTAACACCTTAATGCCTCATCAACATAATCATTTGCTCAAATGATTTCAAGAGTCAAAAAAATTATTAAACTGACCATAACAAAATAAACATCTACTTTTCTAACCCCCAGTAGAAGCTGGCTGTGCTGCAGTGCTAATGTTAACAGGGACAATAATTGGAGAATCAGTTTTAACATTTTTGTTAAAAATACAGCTTTATTTTATTTAAATTTAGCATGCTATTCTACGCTGTTTCCTTTAAATCAGTTTTCCTCAAACTGTGGTCCAGGCGCCCCCTAGTTGTTAATAAGGTACTGCATGGAAACAATTTGCCGTGAGCTCAAAGTCGACGCTACAGCTAGCTCACCAAAGATTGTGTTTAAAGATAATGATGGATGAGTGGCTTCAGACCAGGTCACTAAAAAGAAAGCCTGAAGATCCCAGTGGAAAGTTTCTGAGGGTGAGTTGCAGAACTTTTATTTTTGAGCACTATAGCATGTGAAGAAGTTCTTTTTTGATTTCCATGTGTTTTCTATCATTGGAAAGCTAAGAATCCATGCTTTCAGAATCTACAAATAACTCAAAATGACAGGGTAAACTTATTTTATTGTGAAAAAACAGCACTACCTTCACATTTAGAAAAAAAAGACAACATTTTCATTTCAGGTTATATATATTAAGATATTATGCTATTGCAGGGGACATTTCAATTGATGTGGTCCACGAGTGTTAACCGCTCCAAAAGCAGGAAGACGACTCCAGTGCAGGGCATTATGGGTAAATACAACCAAAACAAACCAAGAGCCGAGGGCTGGCGGGAGAAATGACTCCTGATTTTTTTTTTACCAAAGACATAAAAGGAATCCTAAAACTGCTCTAATCTGATGCTTCTCCTTTTTTTTTTTTACATTTGTGAAGTTTATTGACTCCATTCAGGAAGTTGGGCTCAGTTCTGAGGTTTTTGTGTCGTTTCCTTCAGTGGTTCTTGTTGCAGCGCCACCTCAGGTGAGTGGAGGTACCATGTCGCTCAAAGGCTTTAGTTCATTTGACTCAGTGCAGTGTGAAAGCGAAGTGCAGCAGCTGAAAATGTAATAAATGTTGCACCTTTGATCCCCAGTCGAGCCGCGTCTACCAGACCACCAGGTGGGAAAACACCTTTCTGCATGAATGGAGGCAGAATATACATCACACTTTTCATTTATTTATTTGTCAAAATATTTACGTTTATTTATTTTCTGTCTACTTCTCCACTATGACACCTTGTTGGTCCATCATGTAAAAACATGTGTATGCACAATGTATAAAAACTTACATTTTTACAGAAATAGTAATTATTTTTGGAAAAAAAATATGAAATCTAACTAGGAAGCAGCTTCTTTTTGTGTTTATAGAATCAACTACTGAGAGTGTTAAAATTAAGTATTTATTTGGAATACTAAGTTTAAGTGCAAGGTAAACAATTAGAAATGGTTTGATGTAATATGTGATATGTTTGTGATGGAAAGAATCACTTTCCAATGAAACTTTGACAATCCAAATTCAAAAACATCTACAAGAGATGGAAAATGTACATTTCCCTGGAACGCCCTTCTTTTGTTTAGTTTTCCTCTTCTTTTTTATCGCTCTTTGGGAGATTTAAAAATAAAAATAATTGTGCACATAGAGACTGAAAACAGATCCAAACAACTCCAGACATCTAAAACATAAAGTGTAGCACAATTTAGACCATATTTCCTGTAAATGACCCCTGACTGTTGTATGGATGGACATTCTGTATACTGTTCCCTCTATACTTTCCTTTTTGTTTTTATTTCAATAAAGGAAACTTATCCATGGGACAGTAAACAACTCTGGCTGCTGCGGTTTGTTTTATGATCACTGCAAAACCTGAGAGCAGATGTGAGATCAAGGAGCTGCTCCTGTTTCTATCAAAGTTGGAGGCGAGGTGGATGTGAGTGAAGGACATTTCAGGAATAAACACAATGAGGGAAAAATGACTCAAGGGGGAAAAGGCCCAGGGAAAAAAACAAAGAGGCGATAAAGAAAGGCTCGGAGGAGAATCGGGTTATTCTGGGCTCAGCGGGCT